GGGGGTGGAGAAAAGAAAGGAAAATAAAGGAAGAAAGAATTTTATAGACTACATCTCCTTGGCCTAAAATTAACTCATTTAAATTGGGCTATATTATTTTTTGGGACCTAAAAACTAAAATCAAAAGTTGTCTCCCCATAGCACAGACTGCTAGAAATAAGTATTTGAACAGGTTCTATCTTAATGGACATGTACATTTTGGTCGGCTTCAACTGGAGGGGAGGGGGCGTCCTGGGAAAGATGACAGAAGATAACAAGAGGGGAGTGGGGTCATTTTTGGCCATGATGTCAGGTGATGTCATTTGTGACCAGTCCCTTATCTTTCTGAACGTAACTACCTCCTTCCCTACCCCATCCGTTCCGTGCGCTTCTCAGAGACAGAATTTGTCACACGGCTTTGGGACGATTTTTAAAAGATCGGGTTTTTCCTCCCATGCCAGTTGTAAAGGCCTTCTATTTACCATGCTGCTACAAATGTGTCTTTGTGGAGATCAATAAACTATAATAATTGTATCTTATTATCTTATCGTACCTTATCTTTTTTAACTTAACCCCGTCCCTCTCTACCCAACCCCTCCCTCTCTTCCCCACCCCTCCCACTCCACCCCACCCTCCAGGTGTTTCTCACAGAAAGAACTAGCCATGCGTCTCTGGGATGTGTTCAAAAAGGTCGGGTATTTTTCCTCCCATGCCGGTCTCCCTGACAACCTCCCTGACTACAACCAGACCACCGTCATTCGAGAACTCAGGATACAAATGAAAAAGTTCAGGTATGGCTGGTTTCCGGGTTTGTTTGTTTTTTGTGTCTAACCACGCGTTCACACCAAACACTTGGACGAGAGACAGTCGTGTGCCCACTACGGCTGGGATCGGCCGATCGGGCCGATCGCCCGACTCGATCGCCTCAAAAACGAACGTGTTTGTTTTCAGTTTCAGGCGACCGAGTCGGGCGATCAGCCCGATCCAGCCGTAGTGGGCACCGAGTGTAAGAGGCTTTTTGGTACCTTAGATCGGTCGGTCGATCGTTGTCGTTGGAACGACAGTCGCTCGTTCAAGTGTTTGGTGCGACCGTGCAATGACGCAGTTCTCGCCTCCTGGGCAGAATCGCCACAAGTGGACGGTATCACCCGCTTACAGTTGGCGATTTGGTCATTTTAGTGGGCGGTGAGGATCATCATCCAGTTAGTGACAAGTATTGTCTTACGACCCGCTTGGGAAAAACATGTATACGTAGGTGAGTGGTACGAAACTGTTACCCTCTTAAAAGTGGCAAAAGGGCAGTGCTACTGACTGAAATATCGGTAGGCTAAAATCCAAAGGGGGGATATTAACATGTTCTTATGCACAGTAGAAATGTAAATGGGCTGATTTATCAATGTCATGCTCATATTATGCCGGAACAACTTAGGGGGAACTGCTGCTTTTTATTTCCTCATCCTTACTATCGTCATTTTTTCTCTTCTTCTTTTGTATGATTGTCACTCTCTTTCTGGCCTGCTTTTATAGTCGAAGTAAACTTTGTGCTGTTGAGGCTAGAGAGGTGAGCAGAGTAAGCCTGATTCCCCGTTTGGACTTTTCTGTTGACATCCACCCCTTGGCGCTCATATTACGACCTTTTGCAGTTGCGAGTGCCGTAAGACCTGACTAAAACTAAACTAAAAATGGCAAAAGTGTATGGTGGTTATAAAAAGGCTGACAAGTACTGGTCTGACCCCTTGCTCAAACTGACTTTTTAGCCGAGTAAGTTCAACTTAGTTTGCTCAATATCGTGTTGTATTAATTAATTTGAAACAAGAGAAAACTTCAGAATTTTTTTAACTATTTTGTATTGTTTGTGTCTTTTTCCCAAGTTCTATCCATCATTTCCAGACTTGCAAACCCCCCCCTCATCTTTGTTAATCTCACATCCTGGACCCATCCTTTCTACACACGCTACTCCACCCCACCAATGTTACCAATCATTCCTCACACGAATTAATTTTTTGTTTTGTTTTGTTTTTTAACCCCCCCCCCCCCCCCAACAGCCTTGGGCGCACCAACGCTCGAGCACAGCAGCTCAAGGTGATGAAGAGGGACTTTGAATCCTTGTCCAAGCCGGTGATGGCTAAAGTGCTCGAGAAATACGCAATGGATTTCCAGTTATTTGGATATAGCACACAACTTCCTTCTTCCTAGGGTGGATGGGTTAAGTGCATGAGTGTGAGAGAGGGGAGAGGGGGAGACATGAGAGACAGAGAGATGTGGGGGGATAGAGCATTTCCTTCTTTCCTAAGTGGATATATGAGAGCTCCTTTACATATTATGAGTGTACGCATCGCTGAGTGAATTAGAGATCGAGGATCAAGTGAGAGAAGGAAAGAAGGAGAAGATAGAAGGATAGAGAAAGAGGGGAGGGTAGAAGGGAGAAGGGCGGGGAATAAACAGACAGATAGAATAGAGAGTGAGAGAGGGGAGAAGAGAGGGAGACAAGAGAAAGAAGGAGAGAGAGAGAGAGAGAGAGAGAGA